GAGAGGTGACCTCTAAAGTGGATTACAGCAGCTTTAAAGTCTTTTAATTGAAGCATTTTGATGCTAATGAGCCTGGAAAGACTAGCTTAGCTTGTTAGCTTGCAGGGGGTTCTACTTTGTTGTCTGAAATCTGACAAAACTAGCAGGGTAGCAGCTACTTCACTGTGAAAATCAAAAAAAAAAAGGCTCTTAAAAATGTAGATTATCTTAATTATTAAGATACTTGCAGTTATCAGATAACAGCTAGTGCAGCAGTTCCAAACCAAACACTCTTCAGAAAACAAATTCAGATTTTGAAAGGAAAATGTAGTTGGGGCTTGGACCACAGTGAAGTGTTTGGCAAGCTAACGGCTTGTTAGCGGCTAGTGGTGAGCGTGCAGCGGTGGCGCGGGGCTAGCTCCGGGCAGAGCGGGGGTGCGATGGAGTACCACTCTAGTGGCAGCCTGCCCCTGCTGGGTAGACCGCGGTACTGCCCCGGAGCTAACGCTAACGGAGGCTACCTGTGTGAGACGGGACACTGCTGCGGAGAGACCGGATGCTGCACCTACTACTACGAACTCTGGTGTAAGTGGGTTTTACTGTGTTTCAAGTAAAGTAAAGGAACTACATTAAAGTAAAAAGCTAATGTTGGGCTATAAAGGAACTACAGCACGGTCACATGACTTCACGTCACCACCGCTAAGCTAAAGGAGGCTAATATTGGGCTAGAAAGGAACTACAGCACAGTCACATGACTTCACGTCACCATCACTAAGCTAAAGGCGGCTAATGTTGGGCTATAAAGGAACTACAGCATGGTCACATGACTTCACGTCACCACCGCTAAGCTAAAGGTGGCTAATGTTGGGCTATAAAGGAACTACAGCACGGTCACATGACTTCACGTCACCACCGCTAAGCTAAAGGTGGCTAATGTTGGGCTATAAAGGAACGACAGCACGGTCACATGACTTCACGTCACCACCGCTAAGCTAAAGGTGGCTAATGTTGGGCTATAAAGGAACTACAGCACGGTCACATGACTTCACGTCACCACCGCTAAGCTAAAGGTGGCTAATGTTGGGCTATAAAGGAACTACAGCACGGTCACATGACTTCACGTCACCACCGCTAAGCTAAAGGTGGCTAATGTTGGGCTATAAAGGAACTACAGCACGGTCACATGACTTCACATCACCACCGCTAAGCTAAAGGTGGCTAATGTTGGGCTATAAAGGAACTACAGCACGGTCACATGACTTCACGTCACCACCGCTAAGCTAAAGGTGGCTAATGTTGGGCTATAAAGGAACTACAGCACGGTCACATGACTTCACGTCACCACCGCTAAGCTAAAGGAGGCTAATGTTGAGCGTGATGCCGTTTAATAGTTTCATTTGCAGTGATGGAAAGTAACTAACTAAATGTATTCAAGTACTGTACTTAAGTACACATTTGAGGTACTTGTACTTTACCTTTACTTTATAAATTCAGTTTTTGCCACAAAAAACCTTTAAAATATTATTATTTGTTATTGATTGAACCATCCAGCATTATATTTAAGTAACTGAAACCATGAGTGGGTTAACAGATAATGAGTTGGCAACATTTTTGCTAATAACTGTTTTGTTCAAAAATATTTAATAGTTCCAGCTTCTTAAATGTTTTGAAAGATTTGCTGCTTTTGCTTTTAAATATAAAACAATATTTAATTTTTGTTTTTCCTGAGTACGTTTTATTTGTTAACATTATATGTATTGGGTTTTTTAACATAGAAAGAACATACAGTCACACATACAGTGGGGCAAAAAAAAGTATTTAGTCAGGCACCAATTGTGCAAGTTCTCCCACTTAAAAAGATGAGAGAGGCCTGTAATGTTCATCCTCACTTCAGCTATGAGAGACAGAATGGGGGAAAGAATCCAGGAAATCACATTGACTGATTTTTAAAGAATTTATTTGCAAATGATGGTGGAAAATAAGTATTTGGTCAATAACAAAAGTTAATCTCAATACTTTGTTATATACCCTTTGTTGGCAATGACAGAGGTCAAACGTTTTCTGTAAGTCTTCACAAGGTGTTCACACACTGTTGCTGGTATGTTGGCCCATTCCTCCATGCAGATCTCCTCTAGAGCAGTGATGTTTTGGGGCTGTCGCTGGGCAACACGGACTTTCAACTCCCTCCAAAGATTTTCTATGGGGTTGAGATCTGGAGACTGGCTAGGCCACTCCAGGACCTTGAAATGCTTCTTACGAAGCCACTCCTTCGTTGCCCGGGCGGTGTGTTTGGGATCATTGTCATGCTGAAAGACCCAGCCACGTTTCATCTTCAATGCCCTTGCTGATGGAAGGAGGTTGTCACTCAAAATCTCACGAGACATGGCCCCATTCATTCTTTCCTTTACACGGATCAGTGGTCCTGGTCCCTTTGCAGAAAAACAGCCCCAAAGCTTGATGTTTCCACCCCCATGTTTCACAGTAGGTGTTCTTTGGATGCAACTCAGCATTCTTTCTCCTCCAAACACGTCTAGTTGAGTTTTTACCAAACAGTTCTATTTTGGTTTCATCTGACCATATGACATTCTCCCAATCCTCTTCTGGATCATCTAAATGCTCTCTAGCAAACTTCAGACGGGCCTGGACATGTACTGGCTTAAGCAGGGGGACACGTCTGGCACTGCAGGATTTGAGTCCCTGGCGGCGTAGTGTGTTACTGATGGTAGCCTTTGTTACTTTGGTCCCAGCTCTCTGCAGGTCATTGACTCGGTCCCCCCGTGTGGGTCTGGGATCTTTGCTCACCGTTCTTGTGATCATTTTGACCCCACGGGGTGAGATCTTGCGTGGAGCCCCAGATCGAGGGAGATTATCAGTGGTCTTGTATGTCTTCCATTTTCTAATAATTGCTCCCACAGTTGATTTCTTCACACCAAGCTGCTTACCTATTGCACATTCAGTCTTCCCAGCCTGGTGCAGGTCTACCATTTAGTTTCTGGTGTCCTTTGACAGCTCTTTGGTCTTGGCCATAGTGGAGTTTGGAATGTGACTGTTTGAGGTTGTGGACAGGTGTCTTTTATACTGATAACGAGTTCAAACAGGTGCCATTAATACAGTTAACGAGTGGAGGACAGAGGAGGCTCTTAAAGAAGAAGCTACAGGTCTGTGAGAGCCAGAGATCTTGTTTGTTTGTAGGTGACCAAATACTTATTTTACCGAGGAATTTACCAATTAATTCATTAAAAATCCTACAATGTGATTTCCTGGATTCTTTCCCCCCATCCTGTCTCTCATAGTTGAAGTGTACCTAGGATGAACATTACAGGCCTCTCATCTTTTTAAGTGGGAGAACTTGCACAATTGGTGGCTGACTAAATACTTGTTTGCCCCACTGTATATACATTAACACATTGGAAAAATAACACTCCCCTCCCTCAACATCTAACATTCAGGGAAACCTCACCGATTGAAATGAAACACAATAAATACACAATATGAAACAATAATACAAAAAATATATATGAAAGAATAACTTGTTTCTATATTTAGAGATAGTTATTATTATTATAATCAGCATTATTTGTATTCCTTATTCTTGTTTCAGTGTTTGATAGCGATATTCATAAATGTTCACTTACTTTCACAGTATTCCTTATACTCAGTACGTTAATATGTTTGTGTTCAGGGTTCTGGCTGCTGTGGACGGTCCTCATCCTGTTCAGCTGCTGCTGTGCGTATCGACACCGAAGAGCCAAACAGAGAGTCCAGCAGCAGCAGAGGCAGCGAGAGATCAGCCTGCTGGCGTATCATGGAGCCAACTCATACCCATCCTCCATGCTGGACCTCAGTAAGACCCCGTCAACCTGTGATGCACTTTAGTGAAAACACAGAGAAGTTATCGCTGATTTAAAAAAAAGAAAATCAAGATTCAAGGCTAATCTTAGGTCACAGGCTCCTCCAACAGAGCAACACAATAAAACAGATACAATAGTTAAAAGTGCAAGTAAATACAAATAAAATAGAATATAAATAGTGCAAGGAGAGTCTATATACAAGTCATTGGGATATAATATATTAGATAAATAATTTGTAAGTTGCAAACAGATATTATGGATGCTCTTTTCAAAAGTTCAGGTGTTTAACCGTCTTATGGCCAAATAGATAAGATAAGATCAAAAGTACTTTGATCGATTCCTATTTGGGAAATGTTTGCGTTGCAGCAGCATAAAAAGACAAGGCATAAGAGAAGTTAGAAGACTAGAAATAAACAATCCAAAATAGAAACATCTCAAATAGAAATAAAATAGCCTTAAAAAAGTATAAAATATACATGTGGAAATACTAATTTACAGTAACAAAATATAAAGCAGGATATTATAAATACATTAATTGTAATTAATGGATTATTAAATATTAGATTGAATATAAATGTAAAAGTCCAGTTGGAGCAGAGAGTTCTCTTCCACCCAGAGGAGATTTGTTATACAGTTATTGCAGTCGGCAGGAATGTTTTCCTGTATCGGTCCTTATTAATAGATACATTTCAAACTCATCTTGATACTTATACTGTCTGTTATGTGTGATTGCAACATCGGGAATGCTTAGAATTTCACTGTACTCTGTGCAGTGACAATAAAGGAGTCTAATCTTATCTTGGTTCCAGAGATGGCAAAAGTACACACATCCTGTACTCAAGTAGAAGTGCAGATACTCGTGTTTAAAAGTACTCTGGTAAAAGTAGAAGTACTGACTAAACTTCTTTACTCAAGTGAAAGTAAAGAACTTTGAAATGTACTTCAGTAAAAAGTACCCATAACTAGCAGCTGCTTTAAAGAGTACCTGACCTCCCTTTATATTAATAGAACAATAATGTCATTGTTAGCTAATGAATGTTTCCATGCTGAACAACGGCAACATGACAACGTTTCCATTGGTCCCTCTTCTTTAGAGAAGACCAGGAAATGATGGATACACGGATCGTGTTCAAATCAATAGGCACGCAATGACTCTAAAGAATAATGATCACGCATCAAACACACATTCAGACTAAAGGAACCAGCTGTTTGGAAAATGAGAGAAGTAGAAAGTACAGGTATTTGAGTTCAACATGTAAGAAGTAGAAAGTACAGGTATTTGTGTTCAACATGTGAGAAGTAGAAAGTACAGGTATTTGAGTTCAACATGTGAGAAGTAGAAAGTACAGGTATTTGAGTTCAACATGTAAGAAGTAGAAAGTACAGGTATTTGTGTTCAACATGTGAGAAGTAGAAAGTACAGGTATTTGAGTTCAACATGTAAGAAGTAGAAAGTACAGGTATTTGAGTTCAACATGTAAGAAGTAGAAAGTACAGGTATTTGGGTTCAACATGTAAGAAGTAGAAAGTACAGGTATTTGGGTTCAACATGTAAGAAGTAGAAAGTACAGGTATTTGAGTTCAACATGTGAGAAGTAGAAAGTACAGGTATTTGGGTTCAACATGTAAGAAGTAGAAAGTACAGGTATTGAGTTCAACATGTGAGAAGTAGAAAGTACAGGTATTTGAGTTCAACATGTAAGAAGTAGAAAGTACAGGTATTTGGGTTCAACATGTAAGAAGTAGAAAGTACAGGTATTTGAGTTCAACATGTGAGAAGTAGAAAGTACAGGTATTTGAGTTCAACATGTAAGAAGTAGAAAGTACAGGTATTTGAGTTCAACATGTAAGAAGTAGAAAGTACAAGTATTTGGGTTCAACATGTAAGAAGTAGAAAGTACAGGTATTTGGGTTCAACATGTAAGAAGTAGAAAGTACAGGTATTTGGGTTCAACATGTAAGAAGTAGAAAGTACAGGTATTTGGGTTCAACATGTGAGAAGTAGAAAGTACAGGTATTTGAGTTCAACATGTAAGAAGTAGAAAGTACAGGTATTTGGGTTCAACATGTAAGAAGTAGAAAGTACAGGTATTTGAGTTCAACATGTAAGAAGTAGAAAGTACAGGTATTTGGGTTCAACATGTGAGAAGTAGAAAGTACAGGTATTTGAGTTCAACATGTAAGAAGTAGAAAGTACAAGTATTTGAGTTCAACATGTAAGAAGTAGAAAGTACAGGTATTTGAGTTCAACATGTGAGAAGTAGAAAGTACAGGTATTTGAGTTCAACATGTAAGAAGTAGAAAGTACAGGTATTTGGGTTCAACATGTAAGAAGTAGAAAGTACAGGTATTTGTGTTCAACGTGTGAGAAGTAGAAAGTACAGGTATTTGTGTTCAACATGTAAGAAGTAGAAAGTACAGGTGCTTGAGTTCAACATGTAAGAAGTAGAAAGTACAGGTATTTGAGTTAAACATGTAAGAAGTAGAAAGTACAGGTACTTGAGTTCAACATGTAAGAAGTAGAAAGTACAGGTATTTGAGTTCAACATGTAAGAAGTAGAAAGTACAGGTATTTGAGTTCAACATGTAAGAAGTAGAAAGTACAGGTATTTGAGTTCAACATGTAAGAAGTAGAAAGTACAGGTACTTGAGTTCAACATGTAAGAAGTAGAAAGTACAGGTATTTGAGTTCAACATGTAAGAAGTAGAAAGTACAGGTATTTGTGTTCAACATGTGAGAAGTAGAAAGTACAGGTATTTGAGTTCAACATGTAAGAAGTAGAAAGTACAGGTATTTGAGTTCAACATGTAAGAAGTAGAAAGTACAGGTATTTGAGTTCAACATGTAAGAAGTAGAAAGTACAGGTATTTGTGTTCAACATGTAAGAAGTAGAAAGTACAGGTATTTGAGTTCAACATGTAAGAAGCAGAAAGTACAGGTATTTGTGTTCAACATGTAAGAAGTAGAAAGTACAGGTATTTGAGTTCAACATGTAAGAAGTAGAAAGTACAGGTATTTGGGTTCAACATGTAAGAAGTAGAAAGTACAGGTATTTGAGTTCAACATGTAAGAAGTAGAAAGTACAGGTATTTGAGTTCAACATGTAAGAAGTAGAAAGTACAGGTATTTGTGTTCAACATGTAAGAAGTAGAAAGTACAGGTATTTGAGTTCAACATGTAAGAAGCAGAAAGTACAGGTATTTGAGTTCAACATGTAAGAAGTAGAAAGTACAGGTATTTGAGTTCAACATGTAAGAAGTAGAAAGTACAGGTATTTGGGTTCAACATGTAAGAAGTAGAAAGTACAGGTATTTGAGTTCAACATGTAAGAAGCAGAAAGTACAGGTATTTGTGTTCAACATGAGAGAAGTAGAAAGTACAGGTATTTGAGTTCAACATGTAAGAAGTAGAAAGTACAGGTATTTGAGTTCAACGTGTGAGAAGTAGAAAGTACAGGTATTTGTGTTCAACATGTAAGAAGTAGAAAGTACAGGTGCTTGAGTTCAACATGTAAGAAGTAGAAAGTACAGGTATTTGTGTTCAACGTGTGAGAAGTAGAAAGTACAGGTATTTGTGTTCAACATGTGAGAAGTAGAAAGTACAGGTGCTTGAGTTCAACATGTAAGAAGTAGAAAGTACAGGTATTTGTGTTCAACATGTAAGAAGTAGAAAGTACAAGTACTTGAGTTCAACATGTAAGAAGTAGAAAGTACAGGTATTTGTGTTCAACATGTGAGAAGTAGAAAGTACAGGTACTTGAGTTCAACATGTAAGAAGTAGAAAGTACAGGTATTTGAGTTCAACATGTAAGAAGTAGAAAGTACAGGTATTTGAGTTCAACATGTAAGAAGTAGAAAGTACAGGTATTTGAGTTCAACATGTAAGAAGTAGAAAGTACAGGTATTTGAGTTCAACATGTAAGAAGTAGAAAGTACAGGTATTTGTGTTCAACACGTAAGAAGTAGAAAGTACAGGTATTTGTGTTCAACACGTAAGAAGTAGAAAGTACAGGTATTTGTGTTCAACACGTAAGAAGTAGAAAGTACAGGTATTTGTGTTCAACATGTAAGAAGTAGAAAGTACAGGTATTTGAGTTCAACATGTGAGAAGTAGAAAGTACAGGTATTTGTGTTCAACATGTAAGAAGTAGAAAGTACAGGTATTTGAGTTCAACATGTGAGAAGTAGAAAGTACAGGTATTTGTGTTCAAAGAGTAAGACGTAGAAAGTACAGGTATTTGGGTTCAACATGGAAGAAGTAGAAAGTACAGGTATTTGAGTTCAACATGTGAGAAGTAGAAAGTACTGATACCAGAAAAATGTACTTAAGTACATTAACAAAGTATTTGTACTCCACTTGTTCCAGGTTTCTTGGCGTCTCTGAAGCTGCCGTCCTACGAGGAGGTTGCAGCTCAACCCTCAACTCCTCCCCCTCCATACAGCTCGGTGTTCACCACCCCTCGTTACCCTCAACCCCCCAGAACCAGCGACCCCCATCTGCTCACACAACACGACCCACTCCTTCATCGCCCGCTCAGCGACGGACCCTCCTCCCTCAGCTCAGACAACAGGTAACAACGATGCTAACTGTGATGGAAACTTCTGAAGCAATGGAGCCGAGACTGGCCATCGGGAGCACCGGGATTCGATCAAGGATGTAGAATACCTTGTTGAAGGATATTCTACCCAGAGATCCAGAACAAGATCTAATTGGTTGCTTTCTTTTCACACAAAACCACTGAAATGCGTAGCGCATGGTCCGAGAAGGACAAACAAATCAACGTAACACTGTAATATTACAGATCAACAACACAGATACGATTCTCATTTATTCATTTTATATACATTTTATTACATTTATTTCTATAATTAAATCGATATTTTGTTTGTTTTATCTGAGTGTTCCAGGGTATTCTCTGAATACCTTGAAGGCCCTGACGGTTCGCCACTGCCATACACTAATGCCCTCGATTGGTCTCTGTGTGTCATTCAAGCTCGGGAGGGTGTGTGTATGTGTGGCGCGAGCGAGCGAGAGAGAGAAAGCGCGCGCACCGGTTACGTGTAGGCTATTGTTGTTGTTGGCATCTGATGCTAGCTAGCTGCGCTAACGGATATAAGGAGCTGTTTCAACAACAAGGTGGAGGAGAGTCCTCTCCTGTCAGACTGAGAGACTGATAACTACAGCTCAGGTGAGGTAAAGGACTCTGCTGAGTGTTTAGATAGTTAACTTAGTTCTCAGTGGGTCTCACGGTTTGGTCACCATTCATGTAAACACATATTTCCATTTTAGGGGGGAGTGATTGGTAAAATATAGATGAATAATAATAAAAAAAACGTTAACTAGGTGAAAAAATGTAAGATAAACTTTAAAAACTTGTTGAGAGCTAAAACTAGTCTTTGCTGCTGCCTCAAAGAGGAGCAGGGGGAGAGGAGAGGCTGGTTCAGGAGCACAGACACACTCACAACTATAAATGAACCAAAAACAAATAAATAAACAAGTTTCAATGTTTTTCCATATTGGATATGGTATGTTATTGGTTATTATGTTCTTATGATTATATGATTATTTAAATGTATACAGTTCTGTTTCATATGGGTGTAGTCTCTTTATTTCCCCCTCAAAATGCACCAGATTGATGCATTTAAGTCCAACATTTTAAAACAAATCTTACCGGGGGAGAATGCCCCCGGACCCCCCTATAGGATTTGAGGTCCACCCCCTCTTAAAATATGTTCACATGAATAGGTTCCTAAATAGATTTGCAATTTTTTTTAAATAGTAACCCATGTCCATATGTTTATTTTTGGGTAGTAGATTTAGAGGGCTATCACTACGGGCAGCAACGCTGTAAATATTGACAAATAAATCCAGCAAAATGCCACAAAAAACTGGTAGTGGCCTGGCTGGGTCTATAATTCCCGGCCTGACTTATTGTCCCAGTCCGGCCCTGCAGGGAGAGCAGGAACTTTGATGGCAAACACTGATAGTTTATTATAGAGTTACAGCCGGAGAATTTGACAAGACATGTTCTGCCGCCACGAGGTGACACTGCTACTTCCTAACCAATTCTGAAGATCTCGTCTGCAGTTCTAGCTTTTAACTAGTTCGGAGTGTGATAATCAACATTCCTCATCAGCGAGACTAAACAAATATGGGCCCTGAATCTAACTAGAGCTGTCGTCCATAGAAAATAATGTGCGCCAGGGAACCTACGTTCCTGAACAATAAACTACCTCATGGCAGCTTGTGCTCGGTCATAAACAACAACAACAATGATCCCAAGCTCTTCCTCCTTAAAGCCCCTGACACACCTACCCATTTTGGGAGTCAGAGGCCGTCAGAGGCAGTCGGGCATTCGCGGCGCCTTAATCAGGTTGGTGTGTCCCGCACCGTCGTTGCTTTACGGCACATTTTCACACCTCCAGATGTTACATTACATTGAACATGTTGAATCGGCCAAAGAAATGGCTGATTGGCTGTTGCCTCTTTTGAATTACATTACATTACATTACATTTAGCTGACGCTTTTATCCAAAGCGACTTACAATAAGTGCGTTCGACCAACAAAATACAAACTTGAAGAAAACAGAATCATAAAGTACATCAGGTTTCATAGAGCCAAACATTTCAAGTGCTACTCAACTGGCTTTAGATAAGCCAGTCCTTTATTAGTATATAAGTGCTTTGTTAATAGTTCTATCGCTCGAAGTGGAGTCGAAAGAGATGAGTTTTCAGTCTGGAAGGTGTGTAAGCTATCTGCTGTCCTGATGTCAATGGGGAGCTCATTCCACCATCTTCGAGCCAGGACACCAAACCCACGTGTTTTTGCTGATGGGAACTTGCTCTTGACCTAACAATCAACATCGGCACCTCTGTTGTTTCCCCGACTCAGACTGCAAGGAATCTGGGTGTGACCCTAGATAACAACCTGTCCTTCACTGCAAACATCGCTGCTACAACCCGCTACTGCAGATACACGCTTTACAACATCAGGAGGATGCGTCCCCAGCTGACTCAGAAAGCGACTCAGGTTCTGGTCCAGGCTCTCGTCATCTCACGCCTAGACTACTGCAACTCCCTCCTGGCTGGTCTGCCTGCATGTGCCATCCGACCTCTGCAGTTCATCCAGAATGCAGCGGCTCGTCTGGTCTTCAACCTTCCTAAATTCTCCCACACCACTCCGCTCCTCCGCTCCCTTCACTGGCTTCCGGTAACTGCTAGAATCCACTTCAAGACACTGGTGCTTGCGTACCATGCTGCGAATGGATCTGGCCCTTCCTACATCCAGGACATGGTTAAACCGTACACCCCAGCGCGTGCACTACGCTCTGTGGGACAATCTTTTCCCGGGAGGAAGAGCAGCTCAGTCTTGTCAAGGTTGAGCTTGAGGTGATAAGCAGACATCCACTGAGAGATGTCAGCTAGACAAGCAGAGATGCGTGCGACGACCTGGGTCTCTGAGCGGGGAAAGGACAGAATTAATTGGGTGTCGTCAGCGTAGCAGCGGTATGAAAAACCATGCGGGCTAATGACAGATCCGAGCGAGTTTGTGTACAAGGAGAAGAGGAGGGGACCAAGAACAGAGCCCTGAGGGACCCCTGTAGTTAATTGACAAGGGTCGGACACGGACCCTCTCCAAGTAACCCTGTAGGTGCGGTCTTTGAAGTATGAGGTGAGTTGGGAAAGTGCAGAGCCAGAAACTCCAAGTTCTTGGAGAGTGCGAAGGAGGATCTGATGATTCACCGTGTCGAATGCAGCAGACAGGTCCAACAGGATGATGACAGAGGAGAGGGATGCAGTTTTGGCAGTGTGCAGTTCCTCCGTGACAGCAATGAGAGCAGTTTCTGTGGAGTGACCTGCCTTGAAACCAGACTGGTGCGGATCCAGAAGGTTGTTCTGATGGAGATAACAGGAGAGTTGTTTAAAGACAGCGCGTTCAAGTGATTTAGACAGGAACGGGAGGAGAGAGACAGGCCTGTAGTTTATAACATCAGACGGGTTGAGAGTGGGTTTCTTTAGGAGAGGGTTTACTCTTGCCTCCTTGAGACTGTTTGGAAAGTGACCAGAAGTTAGAGAAGTGTTGATGAAATGGGTGAGAAACGGTAGAATATCAGGAGCGATAGTCTGAAGGAGGTTTGAAGGGATAGGGTCCAGAGGACAGGTGGTAGGGCGGGCAGAGGTAATGAGGGTAAGAACCTCACTTGGAGAGAGAGGGGAAAAGGAAGTTAGTGTGTTGGTGGAAGGAGGGTCTGGTGACCCAGCGGTGAGTAAAGGTGAGTCAGAAAAAGAAGAGCGAATATCATTAACCTTTTTTTCAAAGTGGGTAACAAAGTCGCTTGACAGAAGTGAGGAGGGGGGAGGGGCTTTTGGAGGGTCCAAGAGGGTGGAGAAGATGGAAAATAGTTTTTTAGGATTGGAATAGGAAGATTGGATCTTATCTTGAAAGAAAGTGCTTTTTGCCTGAGAGATCGAAGCAGAGAAAGAGGAGAGGAGAGCCTGATAGGTTAGGAGGTCGTCACAGTGTTTGGATTTCCACCGTTTCCGTTCTGCTGCCCTGAATGACGAATACACACTACCGCTGCCTGCTGGTAAGGACAGTTATTGCCACTCGTCGACTGAAGTCTTTGCGGTGTGTTCATTAGGCGGGTGGCGTAGCCGACGCAGGCGACGTAGCGGAACGTAAAAGTCGGGGCGCCTTCGATACGCGTTCTTTGGTTACAGGTTGGTGTGCAGCGGCCTTAAGAGAGATAGCAGCAAAACCCAAGGCCGTAGACTATGCCGTGGGAAAAGAGAAAGTGAAAGGAGAAAACGATGAACTGTGTCAAAGGTTTATATACCTAAGCAAATGATTCCCCAACACTAACGATAACTTAGACAATGTTATAACTTACATTGTTGTTGTTGGGGACATTTTCCCATCAAATTGGCACCCTGATATTGGGGTTTTCACGCTCACTTGCATTGTTTGTTTTGGGATCTAATAACCCCCATAGATCGTGTATGTCTTATATCCTTCTGAGTGGTGTTTTAGTAAACCAGACATCAGAGCAAGATGACCCGACTGCAGAGAGCATAAGAGGACGAATATATAACATCAATAAACAAATTGAGAGACATACAGAGTCAGCAAGTGAATGATGTAAGGTGCAATATCTGTAACTATATAAAAATATTGTATTAGATATCGGATGCCTTTTTCTTTAATGAAAACACTCAATCATACGCTCCTCTCTCCAGTCTATTTCTTGAGATATCTACATTATTATTACACAACACAAGCTATTGCTACCTCATCATTTCATAAATCTCAATGAATAATAAATGTATATCTTCCCTTCAGCTCCAGTTGTTCCTGCGACTCCTGCTGCCCGTCCTCTCCATGTAGCTCCTCTTTATCGGCGGCCGTCACGTATGAAACCGACACCAGTCACGCCACGACGCCCAGCGAAGCCCCGCCTCTAATGCTCGACGTCACCATGGAGACCATCACAGCCGCAGCATCTCGTTTGGAGATCAACGAGACACGAATTCTGGTTTCTGAGAGGATGTTGGGCTCCGTGGCCGTTGAGATCGGAGATGAAGTCGCTTCCGGAGAACGGCAAACTGTTGTTGACTCATCGGTTCCCAACCAGGATGTTACGGTGGCGGTTTTTACCATGGCGGTCTCCCCTCTGACCTCCCCCTGCTTAGAGGTGGTTCTTCCTGTTGGAGCTACATCTCCCATCATGCAACAGCTTGACCTAGTACCATGTACCCCAACACTCAGCACCAGTAGTACTTTCCCTAGTCCGAGTGAAGTCCAAATAATAAGCATTGATGGTCCAACTGATGAAAATATCCTTACCCCAAAAACCACCTCATTGTCGGGCCCTTCTACCCCAACAGCTAGCACTTCTGACCACAACCCTGATCCAACAAGAACTTTTGATACAGCCAACGTTCCCAGTAGCCCAACCTCAGCACCAGGATCAGATGTTGGAATGACTTTGGCCTTGATAAGTGAAGCGTCTAATCTCCCAAGCCAGGACCCAAATCCTAGCCTTGTGCCAATCCCAGCACCTTCAAACCTTCCCCAAGCCAAAGTACCTTCAACCCAAGCTCCAGAACCAGTTCCCACAAACCTAAGCCCCTTTACAGAACCATTACCCATAAGCCTTCCCCAAACTCCAGACCCTTCACCTTCAAACCTTAACCTAGTTTCAAACCTACAACCTAAAACCACCATAGTCCACGACTGTGAATCTAACCCTATCCTAAAACCAGTACCTGCAAACCTTACCCTTGCGAACCACACCCCAGATTTAACAAGAACTTTTGATACAGCCAACGTTCCCAGTAGCCCAACCTCAGTACCAGCATCAGATGTTGAAATGACTTTGGCCTTGATAAAAGACGCAACTAAATCTCCAAATCCAGACCTAAATCCTAGCCTTGTGCCAATCCCAGCGACTTCAAACCTTACCCAGGCTCCAGAACCAGTACCCACAAACCTAAACGCCTTTCCAGACCCAATGCCCACAAGCCTTCCCAAAACTCCAGACTCTTTGCCTTTAATCCATACCACAAATCCAAATCTACGACCTAACATCAACATAGCTCCAGACTGTGAATCCAACCCTATTCTAAAACCAGTACCCCAAAACCTTCTCCTTCCTACAGAAGCACCTAAATTAGCACATTTCCTGATACAAGAACCGTCACCTGGGTCACCTGGGTCTGGTCTAGCCTCGGTTCCTCCCAACCCGACCTCAGACAAGAACCCAAACCACGGTTCTGTTGCTATTCTGGTTTCTTGTCAAGATCCAGCCCCAGAATCCGCCGATGTAACGGCTCAATCGACAGAACAAGACCTTATCAGTCCGTTGCCATCAAATATCCAGCCTGGATTTAGTTCTGGATCTTGTACAAGTGTTGGTTCTAGAACAAGTCCAATATCGGTTCCTGCTCCAGTGCTTACGTTGACAACACCTGCATCCTCCCCTTCCTCTTGCCCAGCAATAACTATAGAATCATCTTGTACACCTGTAGCCCTCTCCCCATCCTCACCCCTTTCCTTGTCTTCAACTTTTCTCCCGGCCCCAGCTTTACTCCTGGACCCCCTCACTGCAATGCACCAGTCCAACAAAAGTGGATCTTCTTCTGGCCACGCCTCCTCTCTTTCCCCCTCGCCTCGTGCTACCCAGTCGCCGCCGAAACAGACCTTATTTTCCCCCTGTGTGGATATCTTTGAACCGGGACCTCCAAACTGGGAGGACGGGGAGGACGACCAGGAAACCGAGGACAACGACGATGAGGAGGATGAGGACATGGGAGCGGATGAAAGCCAGTATAGACACCGGCGACTTACCGGCGACTCTGGCATCGAGGTGTGTAGGTGTCGGGTGGAGGATGAGGATGAGGAAGAGGAGGAAACGAAGGAGGATGGGATTCAAGAAGGAGGTGGAGAAAGGGATCAAAAAGGAGGAGGAAATGGTGATCTTCATGACAGTGTGGACTGCCCGGCACGAGGTCAGATCACCACAGGGGAAGGACTTGTACTGTGCCCCTCCACCGATACTCCAATATCTGAGGAAGGGGCCTCCGAAGTCGTCATTGTCGTGGAGTCCGTGTGATTGACAGGAAGTGGGCGGAACAAACCATTCATCATCCAGGCAAGGGTTGAAGTTAATGATGGCCTTCACCCCTTAGAACTGTTATTTGAGATTGTCCTGATAGATGATTGTGATTGCGGTTACGTCATGTGATGTTTGTTCGGCAATTGTTTGTCAGATCAGCAAAAGGTGTCGGACTTTAGGAGGAGATTCAACAGGATGCTCACGAGGAAAGGTTTTAGTCCGATGTGGTTTGGAGGTTTCTGCATGGAGAGGCATTTTCTGAAATTGCATCCAGGGTTGATCAAATTTGACAAATACTGCACTCCAGCATTCATGACATACTGGGGCCGAGGTTAGGCCAAGTCGTATTTACAAATGAAAGATAGCAATTCTTCTGAAATTCAAAATTACCCTAGGTGCAATTTTATTGGAGATAAGCCAATCTGTCCACCCATAGTATTTTACCCTAACAACCATTTCTAATATTATACTTGCGTGGTCCGATGACGCTTGCTAGATGTAAACATCATTCCTCTTATCTACGTCTGTCCAAATGAAACATGTTCCCCAGAAATGACGTTTTCTTTCTTGCGTTCGTCACCAATGATAAAAACTTTAAATAGTTTAGCAGTAGACACCTAGCTTGTCTGGGGCGATGAGAAACTGTCCGCTTTGGACACGAAAACCGACTAATGTGGGAGGATGATTCACTCTGACTGACAGAGGGACGACTGATTCATCAGAAAGCTTACTTTGATGTACAAGTCAGTCAAGGGAAGGGAAATTAGGGAAACAGTTTCTCAGATTTGACGTTTTCATGACGACTTGATCCTGTATGGAAGATTTCTGGGTTTTTTCCTGTGCGTCAGTGGACAAAAGCTTTTTGCATAAATAGGAACAAACAATAGACACTTTTAGACAGAAACAAAGCCCCAAACAAAAGGGATGTGAACACGTCATCGCTATCGTCTTTGTCTCTGAATTTGAGGACGGATACAACAAAACGTTGTAGAAACCAAACAATCTAGAGTCTTATATCTAAAATATTCTCTTTCTGCATCCCTCCATTCATAGCCATCTTCCTTTTTATCATTCAGAACCCTCTATTATATTTTATTCTGATGGATAAATCAACAAAGTCAAGCTATTTTAGGACCCAAAATGACGGTAATCTGAATCGTGTTAAAGAATTATTTTAAGGACTTATGGACGTGTGGATATTGATATTTTGTGACAGAAAGACATAAAGGTAGAGTATATTTTGTCAATGATAGGAAAAACATTTTTGTTGTACATGCTGGTGTATGTCCAATTAGTGAAGAGCAATATTTTTCATCAGCAAGAGTCTGTATATAAATGACGCCCCCTAAAAAAAAGGAAAGAAGCTAAAGCAATGTATTGACAAGTTTTGGTAAAAACTTACCCCAGATATAAGTGGACTTTAATTTTAAATATAACTCACTGTTTCCAATGAATATCTCCCCAAATCGCTCTGGAAGAACTAAAAATGCATCTAGAAATCAAAGTTTTCAGCAAAATGTGAGACTTTCACCCAACAGCAGTGCAATGATTGTAAGTCATTTCCAACACACTTTACGGAGGAATGCCAACACACATTTGTTAAGCTCTAGAAGTAGTAGAAGTCAAAATGAATGTGATGATAATACACTGACAGTTGGTTGTACATTTTGGTTAAAAAGTTAATATAAATTTACAACAAAAAAGGCAGGAAAACCAGATGAGGAAAAGGCAGTAAAAAGTTTCCCCAAATACACTGCATTGTTGTAGCAGGAAGTATTCTCAAATCTTTAAGACTAAAAATATCCCTACAAGTTCAATGGAGTGCGAGAATGTGATGTTTTTACCCATTTCACGTCACTTTTTTACTGCCGTTAATGTAAGCTGTTTCAGTTTCAAGTTTATCAAATGTGTGTTGGTCCAAACCAGACGTCAGACTGTGTTGGAAGAGTCACCATAGAGTAAAGTCTGACCTTTAGCTAATGAGAGATTGAAGTGTTCAAAGAAACAGGGAAATCCTATTGGAGGTGGTCACCTGACATCACAGATATCATTAACTCAACCTTCTCCGATGTAAACACCTTCAAAGTCTGACCCGCAAACCCTGTTTCCATGCTGCATCACAACCGGACTTCACTACCCATTTCTTGCAAAAAGACGATGGGTGTACCTTTGCAGACAACGCTATGTTGGACCTCCTTACGACAAAAGCAATGTCCTGCCATGGAAAAGGACTCGAGTGGACTTCAAATGGCAGCAACAGAGCGCACAGTTTCTACGTCTAAATCTGGGTGTTTTGGTAGTCAGATTGGAAACCAACGTGCACAAGATTGGATTCACACGTGGATGGATTCATTAATCCAATCTTTTGTTTTTTAAACCTATTGCAGAGCTGAATTCACAGAAATATGGTTCTGAGTAAACGTGGATGTCAAAGAGAGCTCAAGCAGATTGCTACGATGGCGGATCGGCGTCGAAAACGACACCTTCGATTGAGTGGAGGCCGACTAATCGCCTGTTGACCGTAAGAGTTCGTAGAGGCTTAAAGGACCTTTTCTCAAGGGTCATACCTAGCCATTGATGTTGTGGTTGATGGTGTTTTTTGTTTACCTGAACTAATAAGGTTATATATCTCCATGGTTAAAAGAGTGCCATTTCTACTTGACCACTGTTACTACTTAGCGTTAGATGGAGCGGCTCTCGCTCTGCGTGGGTGTGGACTTTCGACCTGAGTGACTGGGAAAATGTTCGGTCCAAAATCTGTCTGTTGTAGCTCGAGTTCCCAAAGGCTCTGCCGCTCTGAAATCAGCCTTGTGAAAAAAGGGACATTTCGGCCAAATAATGTGGGGTTTTACCCAAATGTCCTTACAGAGATAGGAGGTAACTTACAGATAAAACCTTGGAGAATTACCCTGAGAACGAGCTGATGTTAGGGCGTTTAAAGCATTTGGAAAACTCCTATTTATCCTTTTTTGTTGAGTCAAACCGGGGCAAGTTTTTCATCAAATGTTGGTGGACAAAGAATCTCTGATAGATCGTTTCACACTGACTGGATTCACATTGACAAGATGAGACTCCTGTGTGTTTGGTAAATTATTTAGTGCATTTAATTAAAGATTGGTAAAGTCCCCAAATGACCCAAAAAAGTAAAAGGTTCAAGATTTATTTGGGGAATTTTTACCGCAATCTCTTACGGTAGCTTTGGGAAACTAAGCTTTTATTTTACATAAATCATCATTTGGGAACGTTTTTAACCTTTAACTGATGTTTAATTACACATTTCTTGAGACACAACTGGTCCTGATGTAATGTGAACCCAGTCACACAATTCTGGCCTCATTAAATGTCTTTAAAGAACTTCCACTTGTTCCACGAGGATATTGGATTTAGCTTCACCTGTGGTGTTTGACAAATTATTTAATTTACTAAAAGCGTCCGTATGTTCCTCCGTCTAAATAATGTTTTTATCTCGTTTTTTCTTGTCTGCTGTCCTTCCTGTTTGCATGAGGTTTCCGTCGGAGGAGTGGAAGGAAGCAGAGGAGAGACTGGTCTTTAAAATCCCTTAATATTACGATGATAACGATGCTAATTATTAGAAATACTAAATTATTAGTGAGTGTGTATGTGTGGATGTATGTGTGTGACCTAACTAAACCAGCCTGTTCTAAAAGTGTGTGAAGATATACTGAATAAAAACTGTCAAATCTACTAAAAGTCTGTCTTTATTCACTGGTACTAATAATTACAACACAACTGGAGATTAATCATTATTTATTTATTAAGACATTATTAATGTCAAGTTACACTCAAAAAACAAAAAGGAAGTTAATCATAATCACATAATGTTTATATGGCTTAAATCTAACTTACACTTTGTTTAAATTACAAGCAAATCATTTAAACTAGCTTAGCATTAGCCTAGCATTAGCTTATATTTATACTTTTTTTATTGCAAGATGTTTTTATTTTTGGCGATTATCTTATGCATTAAAATAGTAAGTAGAGGTTAAGCTAACTTTCTCTAATTTTACTGTAAATGTAAATATGTTGAAAATCAAGGTCGACAAATAACATGTCCTAATCCAAAAAACGCTACTTTTTTTTAAACTTTTTATAATAAAACAAAATGTGCCGTTTTCGTGACCTATTACAATTTATATTGTATTATAATCAGAATAATAAAGGACTATTAGTGTGCATATTAACACAGTCATAGTTTAAGATGTGTTTAAGAAAATGTGATCTTAATCACAAAATTATAGTTTTATGATTGTAAACTCCGCCCCTTTCACTTGGCCCCACCTCCTTTTCACTAAGCCCCACCCTCCCACCCCTCCCTGGGAGTGACCACGACCTTATAAGGCAGCGGCTGAAGGACGACGCCCAGTCGCCCCTGCAGGTTGGGCGGGGAAGCCCCGTCCGGCAGCTTGAAGCTCATTCGCTGGAGCAGAGAAGACAGGAAGAGGAACAGCTCCAGCCTGGCCAGTGATTCGCCAACGCAGACTCGAGGACCCGCCCCAAACGGCATGAAGCAAGGGGGCGTCACCCGGTGGCCCCGGTCGTCAAGGAAACGGTCTGGAAAGGCGGGAAAACGAAGGTGAGGAAAAGGCGGGAAAAGGTGTGTTCAGGTGCATTTTTTTAAGTAGGATTTTCCGATTAGGTAGTTGTTTTTTGTGTTTTACCTGGGTTAAAGAGGTCCGGTGTGTCCCAGTGTTCGGGGTCGTGGTGAATCGCCCACATGTTCACCAAAACTCGAGTCCCACGACGGACCGGGTGACCTCCAATACTACAATAGAGAGAGAGAGAGAGTTTTAAACATTTTTGCAGTTTATAGCTATTTCCATTATTGTTAAAACTGTCAGTTATTTCCTGACAAATGGTCACAAAAAATTGCTGTTTTTCTGAGAAACTCATGAAAAGTTGACTGAAGTTAAAGAAGTTCAAAAGACAACCAAGCGGCGGTAAAATGCTTAAAAAATACATTTAAAAAGTCTGAAAAAAAGTGAGAAAAAGTTAAACATTTAGATTATTCTGTGTAAAATGTGCGGTATTTGGGGTGTAGTATTTAAGGTGCAGTATTTAAGGTGCAGTATTTGGGGTGTAGTATTTAAGGTGCAGTATTTAAGGTGCTGTATTTAAGGTGCAGTATTTGGGGTGTAGTATTTAAGGTGCAGTATTTAAGGTGCTGTATTTAAGGTGCAGTATTTAAGGTGTAGTATTTAAGGTGTAGTATTTAAGGTGCAGTATTTAAGGTGCGGTATTTGGGGTGTAGTATTTAAGGTGCAGTATTTAAGGTGCTGTATTTAAGGTGCAGTATTTAAGGTGCTGTATTTAAGGTGCTGTATTTAAGGTGCTGTATTTAAGGTGCTGTATTTAAGGTGCTGTATTTAAGGTGCAGTATTTACGGTGCTGTATTTAAGGTGCTGTATTTAAGGTGCTGTATTTAAGGTGCAGTATTTAAGGTGCTGTATTTAAGGTGCAGTATTTAAGGTGCTGTATTTAAGGTGTAGTATTTACAGTGCTGTATTTAAGGTGCTGTATTTAAGGTGCAGTATTTACGGTGCTGTATTTAAGGTGTAGTATTGAAGGTGCTGTATTTAAGGTGTAGTATTTATGGTGCTGTATTTAAGGTGCAGTAAAAACGGTGCTGTATTTAAGGTGTAGTATTTATGGTGCTGTATTTTAAGGTGCTGTATTTAAGGTGTAGGATTTAAGGTGTAGTATTTATGGTGCTGTATTTAAGGTGCTGTATTTAAGGTGCAGTATTTAAGGTGTAGGATTTAAGGTGTAGTATTGAAGGTGCTGTATTTAAGGTGTAGTATTTATGGTGCTGTATTTAAGGTGCAGTATTTAAGGTGCTGTATTTAAGGTGTAGTATTTATGGTGCTGTATTTAAGGTGCAGTATTTAAGGTGTAGGATTTAAGGTGTAGTATTTATGGTGCTGTATTTAAGGTGCTGTATTTAAGGTGCAGTATTTAAGGTGTAGGATTTAAGGTGTAGTATTTATGGTGCTGTATTTAAGGTGTAGTATTTACAGTGCTGTATTTAAGGTGCTGTATTTAAGGTGCAGTATTTACGGTGCTGTATTTAAGGTGTAGTATTGAAGGTGCTGTATTTAAGGTGTAGTATTTATGGTGCTGTATTTAAGGTGCAGTATTTAAGGTGCTGTATTTAAGGTGTAGTATTTATGGTGCTGTATTTAAGGTGCTGTATTTAAGGTGCAGTATTTAAGGTGTAGGATTTAAGGTGTAGTATTTATGGTGCTGTATTTAAGGTGCTGTATTTAAGGTGCAGTATTTAAGGTGTAGGATTTAAGGTGCTGTATTTAAGGTGCTGTATTTAAGGTGCTGTATTTAAGGTGCAGTATTTAAGGTGCTGTATTTAAGGTGCAGTATTTAAGGTGCTGTATTTAAGGTGCTGTATTTAAGGTGTAGTATTTAAGGTGCAGTATTTAAGGTGCTGTATTTAAGGTGTAGTATTTAAGGTGCAGTATTTAAGGTGCTGTATTTAAGGTGTAGTATTTAAGGTGCTGTATTTAAGGTGCAGTATTTAAGGTGTAGCATTTAAGGTGTAGTATTTATGGTGCCTGTATTTAAGGTGTAGTATTTAAGGTGTAGGATTTAAGGTGCTGTATTTAAGGTGCTGTATTTAAGGTGCAGTATTTAAGGTGCTGTATTTAAGGTGCAGTATTTAAGGTGCAGTATTTAAGGTGCTGTATTTAAGGTGCTGTATTTAAGGTGCTGTATTTAAGGTGTAGGATTTAAGGTGAAGTATTTAAGGTGCTGTATTTATGGTGCTGTATTTAAGGTGTAGTATTGAAGGTGCTGTATTTAAGGTGTAGTATTTACAGTGCTGTATTTAAGGTGCTGTATTTAAGGTGCAGTATTTACGGTGCTGTATTTAAGGTGTAGTATTGAAGGTGCTGTATTTAAGGTGTAGTATTTATGGTGCTGTATTTAAGGTGCAGTATTTAAGGTGCTGTATTTAAGGTGTAGTATTTATGGTGCTGTATTTAAGGTGCTGTATTTAAGGTGCAGTATTTAAGGTGTAGGATTTAAGGTGTAGTATTTATGGTGCTGTATTTAAGGTGCTGTATTTAAGGTGCAGTATTTAAGGTGTAGGATTTAAGGTGTAGTATTGAAGGTGCTGTATTTAAGGTGTAGTATTTATGGTGCTGTATTTAAGGTGCAGTATTTAAGGTGCTGTATTTAAGGTGTAGTATTTATGGTGCTGTATTTAAGGTGCTGTATTTAAGGTGCAGTATTTAAGGTGTAGGATTTAAGGTGTAGTATTTATGGTGCTGTATTTAAGGTGCTGTATTTAAGGTGCAGTATTTAAGGTGTAGGATTTAAGGTGTAGTATTTATGGTGCTGTATTTAAGGTGTAGTATTTACAGTGCTGTATTTAAGGTGCTGTATTTAAGGTGCAGTATTTACGGTGCTGTATTTAAAGTGTAGTATTGAAGGTGCTGTATTTAAGGTGTAGTATTTATGGTACTGTATTTAAGGTGCAGTATTTAAGGTGCTATATTTAAGGTGTAGTATTTATGGTGCTGTATTTAAGGTGCTGTATTTAAGGTGCAGTATTTAAGGTGTAGGATTTAAGGTGTAGTATTTATGGTGCTGTATTTAAGGTGCTGTATTTAAGGTGCAGTATTTAAGGTGTAGGATTTAAGGTGTAGTATTTATGGTGCTGTATTTAAGGTGTAGGATTTAAGGTAAAGTATTTAAGGTGCTGTATTTAAGGTGCTGTATTTAAGGTGCAGTATTTAAGGTGCTGTATTTAAGGTGTAGGATTTAAGGTTCTGTATTTAAGGTGTAGTATTTATGGTGCTGTATTTAAGGTGTAGGATTTAAGGTAAAGTATTTAAGGTGCTGTATTTAAGGTGCTGTATTTAAGGTGCAGTATTTAAGGTGCTGTATTTAAGGTGCAGTATTTAAGGTGCAGTATTTAAGGTGCTGTATTTAAGGTGTAGTATTTAAGGTACAGTATTTAAGGTGCTGTATTTAAGGTGTAGTATTTAAGGTGCTGTATTTAAGGTGCAGTATTTAAGGTGTAGCATTTAAGGTGTAGTATTTATGGTGCCTGTATTTAAGGTGTAGTATTTAAGGTGTAGGATTTAAGGTGCTGTATTTAAGGTGCTGTATTTAAGGTGCAGTATTTAAGGTGCTGTATTTAAGGTGTAGTATTTACGGTGCTGTATTTAAGGTGTAGGATTTAAGGTGTAGGATTTAAGGTGCTGTATTTAAGGTGCAGTATTTAAGGTGCTGTATTTAAGGTGCAGTATTTAAGGTGCTGTATTTATGGTGCCTGTATTTAAAGTGTAGGATTTAAGGTGCAGTATTTACGGTGCTGTATTTAAGGTGTAGGATTTAAGGTGTAGGATTTAAGGTGTAGGATTTAAGGTGTAGGATTTACCTGCTGTCCGTCATGGCGGTGTGCGGGATCAGCACTGGACTGACCGGTCTGATCCTCATGCCCTCGTTGATCACACACTCCAGGTACGGCAGCCGGACTCGGTCCGACACACACACCGGACGCTCGCCCAGCTGTTCGTCCAGCTCCGCTTGTACCCTGCGCTGCACCTGCACCACAAGTACCTTTACTACACCGAGAATACACACACACTACACCGAGAATACACACGGTTCAGAGTACTGCAGTATTGGTACTCTCTGACCTGGGGGTGGTGCAGTATGAAGGCCAGGATCCACAGCAGCGTGGTGGATGTGGTTTCCACGCCGGCCCCAAACGCCTCGGCTGCCGTCATCAGGACGTGATCGTCTGTGATGCCCCCCCCCTCATTATGCCCCTCCCCCTCCTGATGCCCCGACCCCTGACCCTGCAGCAAGGCATCCAGAAGGTCCCGGGGGGGGCCGTCACTCAGGGACGCCTGCAGGAGAGTTATTACAATACAGGTTTCATTTAGGTATTTGCAGATACAGTATACGCACACGTTTGTACGTACAAAGGTTATACATACAAAATTAACAGGATAAAAACTATTTTTAAAAATCAGTTTAAATGGAAGCAGCTGCAGGGACATGAAGTGCATATAACGGTTGGGTCTGCTGATTTGAATCATTTTTAAAAAGATATGCAAAATAATAAAAACAATATTACAAATATTTAAAAAATACTTTAAATACCCTTTAGAAAACAATAACCCTATATTAAATATATTTCAACATTACTCCATACATTGTTTTAATAAATTGTATCATCATCTCCTGTCACCTTGTGCTCTTCCAGTTTGCGGGACAGCAGCCGGTCTCTGACGGCGATGCAGTCCTTCAGTTTCCTGAGACACCTGTTGGGAAACACCTGAGAAACAAAGCGTGTGTTTGAAGTAATGAAAGTTAGAATGTGATTTAAAAGTAGGGACGTTTTTTATAGAAAAAAGGCGTTTTGTGGAAAGTCATGGTCTTTTTTGCAATTAAAGTAAAGTAATTTTTAAATAGACTTTTTCTTTTTAAGTACAAATATTTTTCAAAAATTTCAAAAAATTTCAAAAAATTGAAATATTTTTAAAAGAATGAAAATATTTAAAAAAATTAAAGAAAATTAAAACAAAATTAAAATGAAAATATTTGATGAGGGATTTTTAGAGAGGGTCTACTTCAGGCACCTTGATCCAGGGGTAGATGTCGAGCAGCCCCCCCCCGGCGATGGTCTCCACGATGCCGTCGTTGTACCGCATCACTTCCTGCAGCTCGGCGTCGCCGTGACAATACGTTGAGCTGAACACCAGCGTGCACACCACGTTAGTGACAGCTCTCGTTATCGCGGGCGACGGGTCGAAGCCCCGCCCCCCTCCTGACAACAGCTCCAAACACAGGTCGTCCACCGAGGACCGGACTAAAGGAAACACATAATAAATATATATAAAAACAAGTATTATTATTACATCCAGCTGGAGGAAGAGATTACACTTTAAGGTGTATTCATCTTTAAAGGAACAGCAGACTTGTTTTTGTCAATTTGATTTGATATGAAAAGTCTCTGGAGCTTCACATCCTGTTAGTGAATTATCCCCTTGACCGTCGAAGAGGAACAATTCTTAAAGGAAACTCAAAAGACTCGAGACCGTTACGAGTGAAACAGATTGGAAGGAAGATAATGTTCCTGTCACCCACTAACACGTGTTCACAGATCATTCAAAACATTTTCACATCTGTTCGACAATAATACAAAATAAAAGACAGTTTTTTTGTTAAATATACAGGAGTAGTATCGTATTCTTTTTCATGCATTATTCTTAATCCTGCAGTATTGCGCTATGTCCTGTATTAATGCTGTTCTGTACCGATGTCCTGCAGGCGTCCGCTGCCCTCCCCGAACAGAGTGAAGGAGTCGTGGACGAGGCGGCGGTGCATCTTCCAGAGAGGAGAGAAGTCTGAGAAGGCGATGTCTTTCCCCCCCCGAGTCAACAGGTCCGTGGTCACCTGCGAGGGAATAAAGATGTTTTTAATACATTTTGTCTTTACTGTCATTTATTCAGTATATTGTTCTATATTTTTGGGGTCTTTTTCCTGTTTTTCTCCAGTATTTTTTCTGTAGCAAGTACATGTTTTAAAAATAAAAGAATTTGAGAAAACGTTGGTCTTCCTGTGAAAGTTAGGACAGTATTAGTAAAGTAGACCTTTTTAAGAAGTTATGGCCTTTTTGAGAAAATGTTTGGATATTTGAACAAAATTAGGACTTTTTAAAGAGACTTAGAATATTTTTATAATTAAATTGAGCACTTCTTATGAAGCCCCCCCTCACCATGAAGGGTCTCCCAGCGAACTCCCTCCCGCGCTGCAGCAGGACCTCTCTGGCCTCCTGGTGCCGGTTCAAGACCACCGAGAGGTGAGGGCCGAGGAGCAGCGAGAACACAGGGCCGTACCTCAGGGAGAGAAGGAGGAAAGCTCAGAGGAAACACTGAAGTAATGCAGAATTCTTTTTGAGAAAGTACAGAAATAATACACAAGATATATATGTATATATATAAACAGAAAATCAATTAAAGAAGAAATTAAATAAAACTACAGAATGAATGCAGAAAAAACACAGAAACAACACAGACGATATACATATATATATATTGTTGGGGAAATATTTCCCAAGGCCCGTAACTGTGACCCAGTTGATCAGTTCATACTGACCTGAGGAACAAGGGCCAGGGTGGTGACCCCAGACGGCAACAGCGAGGAGTTTGACATCCTGGCTGGGGTAATGCAAGGGGACACCCTGGCCCCCTTCCTCTTCATCATGGTCCTGGATTATGCGCTCAGGAAGGCCATCAGTGGTCGAGAGCAGGATCTTGGCTTCACTCTAACACCAAGGAGGTCGAGACGACACCCCACAGTAGTCCTGACAGACCTGGACTATGCGGACGACATCAGCCTGCTCTCCGACAGCGTGGAGCAAGCACAGGAACTCCTGAACAGAGTGGAGTCAGAGTGTGCCAAGGTTGGCCTGAGGCTAAACGCCAAGAACACTGAGGTTATCACCTATAACATCTTACCGGAACATCCACCTCTGACAACAACAGAAGGCACTGTGCTTAAAGAAGTCAAGGACTTCAAGTACCTGGGCTCATGGGTCAACTCAACCGAGCAAGATCTTAAGGTGAGGAAGGCACTTGCATGGAGGGCCCTGAACGGCATGACCAGTGTATGGAGCTCCAATCTCCCCGTCAAATCAAACTCAGCTTCTTCAACGGTAGAGTCTGTTCTCCTCTATGGCAGTGAATGCTGGACCCTGAAGCCAACCCTGCAAAAGTCTCTAGACGGATGCTACACCAGAATGTTGCGAGCAGTATTTAACATCAGCAAGAGTGTACATTTAACAACATCCTGTACGAGGGAATACCAAGGGTGAGCGAGAATATTGCAGCCAGGAGAATGAGACTAGCAGGACATTGCCAAAGGCATCAAGAGCTGCCAGCCTGCAGATTGGTGCTGTGGGAACCAGCACGCGGGCATCGGGCACGAGGACGTCCCGCACAAACATACGTGGACGTACTCAAGAACGACGCAGGAGCACAAAGTACCAATGAACTGGCCAGATGTATGGAGAACCGGGATGACTGGAAGCAACGATGGAGGGCTCGTCTGAGGACGACCTAGAGAGACCTGACTGAGCTCAGGCACCTGCACCTTGGCTGCTGTGCTCTCAGTGCTCTGTCTCCCTGATCCTGCCTGTTGGATCAGCTCCAAATGAACCGTCAGTGTTTGCCATCAGAGCTCCAGCTCTCCTCGTGTCTCTCTGAGTCCTGACTCCATCAGAGCTCCAGCTCTCCTCGTGTCTCTCTGAGTCCTGACTCCATCAGAGCTCCAGCTCTCCTCGTGTCTCTCTGAGTCCTGACTCCATCAAAGCTCCAGCTCTCCTCGTGTCTCTGAGTCCTGACTCCATCAGAGCTCCAACTCTCCTCGTGTCTCTTTGAGTCCTGACTCCATCAAAGCTCCAGCTCTCCTCGTGTCTCTCTGAGTCCTGACTCCATCAGAGCTCCAACTCTCCTCGTGTCTCTTTGAGTCCTGACTCCATCAAAGCTCCAGCTCTCTGAGTCCTGACTCCATCAAAGCTCCAGCTCTCCTCGTGTCTCTGAGTCCTGACTCCATCAGAGCTCCAGCTCTCCTCGTGTCTCTTTGAGTCCTGACTCCATCAGAGCTCCAGCTCTCCTCGTGTCTCTCTGAGTCCTGACTCCATCAGAGCTCCAGCTCTCCTTGTGTCTCTCTGAGTCCTGACTCCATCAAAGCTCCAGCTCTCCTCGTGTCTCTCTGAGTCCTGACTCCATCAGAGCTCCAGCTCTCCTCGTGTCTCTGAGTCCTGACTCCATCAGAGCTCCAGCTCTTCTCGTGTCTCTCTGAGTCCTGACTCCATCAAAGCTCCAGCTCTCCTCGTGTCTCTTTGAGTCCTGACTCCATCAGAGCTCCAGCTCTCCTCGTGTCTCTGAGTCCTGACTCCATCAAAGCTCCAGCTCTCCTCGTGTCTCTGAGTCCTGACTCCATCAGAGCTCCAGCTCTCCTTGTGTCTCTCTGAGTCCTGACTCCATCAAAGCTCCAGCTCTCCTCGTGTCTCTCTGAGTCCTGACTCCATCAGAGCTCCAGCTCTCCTCGTGTCTCTCTGAGTCCTGACTCCATCAGAGCTCCAGCTCTCCTCGTGTCTCTGAGTCCTGACTCACTCAGAGCTCCAGCTCTCCTCGTGTCTCTCTGAGTCCTGACTCCATCAGAGCTCCAGCTCTCCTCGTGTCTCTCTGAGTCCTGACTCCATCAGAGCTCCAGCTCTCCTCGTGTCTCTCTGAGTCCTGACTCCATCAAAGCTCCAGCTCTCCTCGTGTCTCTCTGAGTCCTGACTCCATCAGAGCTCCAGCTCTCCTCGTGTCTCTGAGTCCTGACTCCATCAGAGCTCCAGCTCTCCTCGTGTCTCTCTGAGTCCTGACTCCATCAAAGCTCCAGCTCTCCTCGTGTCTCTCTGAGTCCTGACTCACTCAGAGCTCCAGCTCTCCTCGTGTCTCTGAGTCCTGACTCCATCAGAGCTCCAGCTCTCCTCGTGTCTCTGAGTCCTGACTCACTCAGAGCTCCAGCTCTCCTCGTCTCTCTGAGTCCTGACTCACTCAGAGCTCCAGCTCTCCTCGTCTCTCTGAGTCCTGACTCACTCAGAGCTCCAGCTCTCCTCGTCTCTCTGAGTCCTGACTCACTCAGAGCTCCAGCTCTCCTCGTCTCTCTGAGTCCTGACTCCATCAGAGCTCCAGCTCTCCTCGTGTCTCTCTGAGTCCTGACTCCATCAAAGCTCCAGCTCTCCTCGTGTCTCTGAGTCCTGACTCCATCAGAGCTCCAGCTCTCTGAGTCCTGACTCCATCAAAGCTCCAGCTCTCTGAGTCCTGACTCCATCAAAGCTCCAGCTCTCCTCGTGTCTCTGAGTCCTGACTCACTCAAAGCTCCAGCTCTCCTCGTCTCTCTGAGTCCTGACTCACTCAGAGCTCCTGCTCTCCTCGTCTCTCTGAGTCCTGACTCACTCAGAGCTCCAGCTCTCCTCGTCTCTCTGAGTCCTGACTCACTCAGAGCTCCAGCTCTCCTCGTCTCTCTGAGTCCTGACTCCATCAGAGCTCCAGCTCTCCTCGTGTCTCTGAGTCCTGACTCACTCAGAGCTCCAGCTCTCCTCGTGTCTCTCTGAGTCCTGACTCACTCAGAGCTCCAGCTCTCCTCGTCTCTCACCACATGCAGAAAGAATACAGAGGAAAATATACAGAGAGAAACTGAGAAATTAAGAAATCCAGAAAAACTGAAATAAACAGAGAAAAAAGTTAGAAATAAAAAAGCCACAGAAAGTGCTTTGAGAACACTTTAAGGTAAAGTGAACTCTTAAGGGTTTACACTGAGATGTCCTCTTACCTGTGTCCCAGCTGAGTGAAGAGCAGGTGGGGGGGGAGACCTCCTCCCATCCAGGGGAGGCTGCCCAGCAGGGGGAGAGAGGGGAGAGAGGGGAGAGAGCCAGGAGCCGAGGGGCGAACGAGGAGGAAGAGGAAGAGGAAGGCTGCACCAACGAAGAAGAAGAGGACGAGAGAGGAGGGGGGGAGGGACGAGAGAGAGGAGACGAGATGAGAGGACATGATGAGGAAGTGAGGAGTGAGAGAGAGAGGACGCTTATATACACACTGTCCAAGGTCTGAGAGTGTGTGTGTGTGCATGTGTGTGTGTGTGTGTGTCAGCCTTGATGTTATCAGCTGTGCGTCAGAGGAGAGAGAGACATCCCGACACACACTTTAAAAGAACTTTTATTTTTTGTTAAATCGTTTTTTTTTGTTTAAAGGTTTTGTTTATATTTACTTTCTTAATTAATCTGTTTTTAAAAACACATTTATTGTTATTAGTTTTTATATTTTGTTAATATAAAAAGGTATGTTTTTATTTATATACATGTTCTATATGTTAAAGTTATATTTCATTTGTTTCGTATCTTTCAGTTTTAGTTGAGAAATAAATATTTATTATCAGTTTAGTTTCAATTTGACAGAAAGAGTTGTTTGATGTTTTTATAAAGCGTTTCAAAGCTTTAGTTTAAGAGACTTCGTTCAAAGTTAGTTTTCTCAGAAAGGTTTATTTTGTATTTAAAGCTATTATCTGTTTTCACTCCAAAACACACACCACTAAACAGTCAGAGGGAGAGGTGCATTGTGGGTAATGTAGGCGGCATGTTTTTTGACTTTCAAGAGAGAGCTGCAGACGACAGAAAATGAAGGACAAACTGAGAGTGTGTGTGTGTGTGTTGGGTGGAGTGTGTGTGGGCGAAGTAAGAGACACTGTTGCCATGGCGTCGTGCCACCTTCTGCTCCCTCCACCTGTTATAAATCACTCTCACACAGACACACACACACACACACACACACACACACACACACACACACACACACACACACACACACACACACACAGTCTCTCACACAAACACTCACACACTCTCGCACACACACTCTCACAATCAGACACACACACACACACACACACACACACACACACACACACACACACACACACACACACACACACACATACGCACACCACACTCTCTCACAATCAGACACACATCACACACTCACACACACTCTCTCACACACACACCACACACACACACACACACACACACACACACCACACACACACACACACACACACACACACACACACACACACACACACACACACACACACGTTACAGCTGCAGTTCCGCTCCTGGCCGCTAGAGGCTGCTCCATTCTTCATTAAAGTGAACAGGAAAAACTTTGTGATTTTCTTCTGGTATTTAAATTAAGTTAAAGAGACTCTATTATTCTTCCTTAACTACAGCAAAATAACACTTTGACTAATAATCATTCATTTAGAAAATCATCTGCAGAAGAATCTGAAATAAAAACGAATACTTAGTTAAAGTTGACGTTACATTTAATGTGTTTGCACAGTGGATAACCTGCTGTGTATTTGAGTCCTCATGTGACCTCATGAGTTCTCTGCAGAGACATCAGATCTTAAGGAGGAGTTATTATTATATGTGAACACAGTTATTTATAACCAGCAGACATTTTGTCACGTTCTCCAGTTTCAGCCCCACGGACAGCTCTGCGCACACACGTGCACAATACTGTATATCATTATAACATCATATTCATATGTATAGGTATTTAAATATATCACCGCTCCATGTATGACATTCCTTCACGTGCACCGTCGCCCGTGATGCTGTCGCCATGGAGACGAGAGGAGATTGAGCGCAAGCGTTATGTAAAGAGGAAGTGAGGAGCTGCAGATTAATGAGCATTTATCGTTATTGTTGTTGTTTTTAACCTATTGTTTTCCTTTCTTAGGTCATTTATGACAATGTGAAGACTTTCACTTTCTGATTGTGCAAAATAAATACTCTGAGGCAACAACAACTAGAACAGCAACAACAACAACAACAACAACAACAACAGCTAAATGCATGTATTATCTGTAATGAAGAGTCCTCTCCTGCTGATGTTCAGGTGTGTATCAGTATGTAGTGTCTCTACTTTAAAGAGTCCTCTCCTGCTGATGTTCAGGTGTATATCAGTATGTAGTGTCTCTACTTTAAAGAGTCCTCTCCTGCTGATGTTCAGGTGTATATCAGTATGTAGTGTCTCTACTTTAAAGAGTCCTCTCCTGCTGATGTTCAGGTGTATATCAGTATGTAGTGTCTCTACTTTAAAGAGTCCTCTCCTGCTGATGTTCAGGTGTATATCAGTATGTAGTGTCTCTACTTTAAAGAGTCCTCTCCTGCTGATGTTCAGGTGTGTATCAGTATGTAGTGTCTCTACTTTAAAGAGTCCTCTCCTGCTGATGTTCAGGTGTATATCAGTATGTAGTGTCTCTACTTTAAAGAGTCCTCTCCTGCTGGTGATCAGGTGTATATCAGTATGTAGTGTCTCTACTTTAAAGAGTCCTCTCCTCTGATGTTCAGGTGTATATCAGTATGTAGTGTCTCTACTTTAAAGAGTCCTCTCCTGCTGATGTTCAGGTGTGTATCAGTATGTAGTGTCTCTACTTTAAAGAGTCCTCTCCTGCTGATGTTCAGGTGTATATCAGTATGTAGTGTCTCTACTTTAAAGAGTCCTCTCCTGCTGATGTTCAGGTGTGTATCAGTATGTAGTGTCTCTACTTTAAAGAGTCCTCTCCTGCTGATGTTCAGGTGTATATCAGTATGTAGTG